ATTCATATATAAAATTTATTTTATTTAAAATATCTTCAACACAAAATAATTTTATTTTAGATAAGTGGATTTCCTGGAGTTATTGGATGTATTGATGGAACGTATATTAAAATTAGAACTCCTGTTAATAAAATCAAAAGCACTTATGTTAATAGATATGATTACCCATCTGTGACATTACAAGCTGTTTGTGATGCCAATAAATTATTTTTAGATGTTTTTACGGGTCCTCCCAGTAAAATACATGATGCAAGAATATTTAAATTCTTATTTTTAAGTGATGAAATAAAAACTATATCAGAAGATTATCATTTATTAGGCGATGCGGCATATCCTTTAAGAAAATATTTATTAACACCATATAGAGATTATGGTAATCTTACAGCCGCTCAACGAAATTATAATTACAAATTGTCTACAACAAGAGTTAAAATAGAAAATGCGTTTGGATTATTAAAACAAAGATTCAGGCAATTAATGCAATTAGATTTTTTTACAGTTAAACGCTCTGCTAATTTTATTATTTCCTGTTGTGTGTTACATAATATATGTATTATGAATAGTGATTATTTAGATGTTGAAAATGAAGAATGTAATGAAAGGCATATCAATAATGAGCAGAATCCGATAGAATGGAGGGTGAGATAAAAAGAGACATCCCATACAGCACGGATCATTGCAATTATATTGCAGCAATATTGCAATGTTGCAAATTGCAATGCAACATTACAAAGACGTTGCAGAAATATAGAGCCACAAAGTACCAGCACACTTGTAGCAACATGACATTAATATTTCGGAAATATTGCAAAATTCAATTTTTATATAATTTTAATAATAAAATATTATAATAAAATAATTTTTTGCAATATTTCTACATGAAAGATGTTAACGATAAACAATACTAAATGGTTCATTTTATTAAAACATTTTTCTTAAATTGGCTTATATTGCTGCACTGTATGCTTTGCGCAGCACATGTACGCGTTCGCGATTGTGTGCGTATGTAGTAGGTGCCGGTCTTGCTGCACATATCTGTGATTGTCGTGTATTTCGTGATTCACATTTTTTATTGTTGCGTACGAGAAAAGGTAAGAGCTTTTTGATAATATTATGTTTTATTATAGTGACCTAATATATTATGCATTAATTAATTATAATAGAATAGCATGTCCTAATAACCTATATAACCTTAAAATTATTGAGATCGCAAAAGTAAAAATTATATTTATCTATGATATATGTTTGTATATTTTTTATGTGGATATTTTTTGCTTTCTCTTATTTTCTATTTTGCTGTAGATATGAACTTTAAAATATTTGATAAAAATATTTATGTATATTTGCAGTATGTATATTTTTATGTAAATATGAATTTTAACTCCTATTTTATTTTTACAGACATTTAACAAAGGAAAACAATAATGGACAAAATTCAATAAATTATTAGTGGTAATAAAAGCGGCTCGTAAAGCTGAACCATTTTTATATATTTCTCTAATATAAAAAAAATATATTTTTATTTCGTGAACATGTTAAGAGCAATAATATGTTATGTGCAATGTTATGTTATTTATAACGTTAACATAAGTACAAATAAAGACATTTAATTACAATGTATCGTCATTAATTACACATTTGTATACCCAAAAATAAATATATATACATCATTGCAAATTCATTACATTGCAATATTGCTACAATATTTTGATGCAATATTCCTAAAAGCGGACATTTTATCATTGCTGCAATTCCACAGCAATGATGCAGCAACATTTTGCAGTGAATTTGCAAAGTTGCAATATTGCGGTGAAAGATTGCTACAATATGTATGCAATCTTTGTGTGCTGTATGGGTATTATATATACTTTTTAACTCAGAGAGATATGCTGTATACTGTATAATGTATACCAGCATCCTATATAAAATTATGCAAAAAACTACCGATGATGTATTATGTATACAAAAATTATTGGAAAAAAAGGTAAAATATGTGATCACCGACGACGTGTAGACGTTAAATAACCTTGCTATATTCTTCGCCTCGTTCTTATAAGAGATTCAGATTTGTTGCAGATTATTGATGATGATCTTTTTTATCAGATAGTTAATAAGAGAATATGTGTTTACAAGAATATTGATATGTTCAAGTAAGATATGAAATGGTTATATAAGATATATCATTTTTTTATATTCACATGAACACGTGTATCTCCAAGTGTAATTAATTTTTTGATCATTTTATATAATCTGTTCTAACGTTCATTACAATTGTGAAAAAAACTTATGTATATTTCAATAGATGCGATGACAATTAAGCTACTTTAAGTCCTCATATGAACAGACTTTCTCATACAGCACTGAAGCTTGCAACAACATTGCTGCAACATTACAATATTGCATATTGCAGTGTAATGTTGCAGAAATATTGCAAAGATCTGCGTTGAAAGAATTCTTCCATGCCACTATGCCAAATGTGTGTGTATATATATATTCGACCACGTGAATATAAAAAATGAATTATTTTTGTACTATGTAAAGTTGATATTTATTTGGATATTTAATTGGTATTTATAAATTACATTTTTATTATATTAGTTTTAGTATATCGATTTGTTGTAACTTGACGAGATCGAACTGATACATATTACAGAGACCCTTCTTAACAGCTGCTGCTCTATTCTTAACAAGCTTGCTGCTAGTTCTGCCTCTGCCTTCTGCCAGGCCAAGATGTCGCACGATGTTACAGACGTTAAGATACAGCGTAAAAATGCAGTTATATTTATCAGAAAGATTTTTGTAATACGATTTGTTTGGCTTTGACACACTTTATTCTAAGGCTGACAATGTGAGTGACATTATCGCTATTGTACAAGACAAAATGCAAATATTTATATGCATACATAATACTGTAATGTGTTATATAACCTGAAAATTAGAGTTTTTTTTAACGAGATATATGTTCAATCTTTGATTATAAAATATTTTAGTCAAATAATATCACTCTTTTGATATCTTATTTTTCTTATTTTATAGAGTGCAAGTCTAATGGATCTGCAAACTCAACAGAAGATTTCACAATTTGAGACGTTTGTGAACAATGTATTAAAAGCCGATCTTGCAAAATTGGATGAAAAACTTGATGCTAAGAATGCTGACGTTGCCGAATTTCTACAACTGAAATCGGTGATAACTACGTTTCAAAATACAAACGTCGAAAAAACAGGATTCAAGACTAAGGTCGATATAGGAAATAATTTTTTTATTCAAGCGCACATTCCAGATGCTTCAAAGATTTTATTAGACGTTGGTTTAGGACATTATGTCGAATTCGATTTGAATGAAGCTTTAATTGTTATAAATATACGGATCAAGTTGCTGGAAAGACAGATTGCTCATTTGCGGAAAATAATTGCAAGAACCAATGCTCATATTAAGTTAACTCTTATTATAATTAGAGATTTACAAGGAATTAAAGAATATGATCAATAGAAACTATTGTAATGAATAAAAGATGATTTAATGTAAGAATCAAAAACTATTCGATAAGAAAATAGTATATATTGGAATTTGCTATAATAGCAGTATATATAAATTTTATAAATTTATTAATAAACTTGTAATTCAATATATATTCTAATTTTAATTTAAAAAATTTACAAAGACCTTGTACTATATATTAAAGTATTGAACATGGTAAGAATTGGTCTTAAATATATCAATAGTTTAATAGCATTTCTTCGTAATATTATTATTACTTAAAACTGGATATAATTATCTTTAGCATGATAAAGAGGAAGAGAGAGAGAGAGAGTAAATTATATAAAATATTGTTTAATTTGAATGTGTGTACTGGTAAAGGATATCATGTGGAGAAAAAACAAAGAAGTGAAATAATTTTTATTTTGTTAATGTATATAAATGCAAAAATAATGTGATACGTAATATATACGTAGTAGTAAAACATTTAATCTATTTTGTGAAGAACTTTTTAGTGTCTTCATCATGTCTTTAGCCAGATAAGATGGCATGTTCGAAAAACGCTTCTTTCATTTCCCTTATCAAATTTTAGATGCAGCCACTTATGCAAATATGTGCAAAAGTAGCCTTCCTAGCATTTTTTCCCTATTCTCTCTTCACGTTGTCATCTTGTACTTTGTGACTTAAGCTGATGCTGTACTGTAGTGCATATAAGAGTTTGAAGAGAACCTTGCATGATATGTTTCAAGTGTTTACCAGTACATTTACGCATATATTATCCGCTCTTCTATTAGGTATAAAGAATATTCATTCATACAACCTATTCCTTTATTAACTCTTTAAGATTTTGCAGAAAGATGAAGTTCCTCAAAAAATCTATTCTAATTTGAAAAATTAATTTATAAATTTTAAATTACTCTGTAACATCTAATATTTTGAAGCATTATTTTAAAAGTTTGTTTCTTATTTTTTATTTATTGCTTGATTGTGATTGATGTGATTGTCAAATTCTATAAAGGTAAGTATGATCAAGTGCTAATGCATAACTAACATTATTAATAATTTTTGAATTATATTAAATATATTAATTTCATTAATAACATATATATGTATAATACTATAACAAATGATTCAATAATATATAATATATTTTCGATAATTAAAGAGTAAGTTTAATAATTGTCGAAACATTTTCTATATAAGCTCTACCTAAGCTTCTGTCCATAAGAGTGTCGATGGTAAAGCTCATCTCAATAGTTCATCGATAGTAGTGTATATCATCGGATGATAATATATCATGTACTTTCATTAACATAGCATGATGATTAATCTTTGCGAAGAAAGATTGTCTATTTATATACTGTCTGTTAGTAAATTCTAAATATTCTTGCATATTAGTGGCTGATAGTAAATATCTTGTACACCTATAAATATTTTTAATGATATTACTTTTGAAATATCTAGATGGCATTGAAAAAAATCTTCAGGTATTTCTTAGGATATGTTTTATATAAAAAATGTTTATTATATACTGATAGTAAACACCTATAAATATTTTTAATGATATTACTTTTGAAATATCTAGATGGCATTGAAAAAAATCTTCAGGTATTTCTTAGGATTCTTAGGATA